TGTTCATACATTGCTTTGGGTCATACGTTACCATCCAAGTTCAGAGAAGGAGTTGAGCCAAAATTATTTCAGTTTAACAGGACAACAGAATATTATGCAACAATAGGGAAGAACAAATTACAACCACCTGAAAATAATATATTTGAGAAACATTACTGTTTAGGAAAATGCATTACAAAGGACTACCATATGACTGGATCATTTATAAAGTCTAAAATCAAGCAAAATTGGCCAAACATCAGTAGCTGATGCCTGCAGTCATAGCCAACTCAGAAGGCTGTAATCTGAGGATTGTGATTTAAAGCTGGGTGGAGCAGAAAAGTATGTCAGACTCCAAAATAGTAGCAATAAGCTGAGCAGGAGGCATGGCTCAAGAAGTAGAGTACCAGCTAAGCAAGTGGGAGGCCTTGTACTGAAGAAAACAAAAGCCAAGCAAATTATACAGTATGTCTTAGGAAGTAATGCAAACAAAATTTGGGATAGCAGTTGCCCTGGGAAAGGGAGGATATTTTAGAAAGTCACAAATAAAATTAATCAAGTCAGGAATGGTTCTTAAATCAGGTGTTCAACCTATGAGTGTTCCAAACTGTTAGCTTATGTATTATATTCATATTGCATGCATTCCTTTTTTGCAGGTCTCAAATTGCACATAGCACAAATATTCTTAAAATGGTAGCATAGATGAGCATTTTCCCTTCTTGCTCCCATTTTTTCTTCCTTTTTTATGAGCGATTTAAAAAACTTTATTTTATTGTAAAGAGGCTGTGCAGAGGGGTTACAGTTACATGAGTAAGCTAATGAGTAGATTTCTTGTTGAGCATTGTTACTCCCTCCTTTTGTTTTTCTCCTACTATCCCTTCCCCCAAACCCCCCCTCCCAACTCCCCAGCCCCTGAAGTTGTAAAGTTCGTTTCCAACACAGTGTCTTGTGAGTCTCATTGTTGCAATGGGTCATCTTGTGTCCTTGTTTCAGCATTTTGTTATTCCCCTTCCCCTCCCCAAATTAGATGAATGAAAAACAAGATGCAAGATACCAAAATCAAATACAATGACAACAGGGATATACCATAGCAGGAAGAACCTACAACAGAAACAAAGAAAGTCACGTAGTATGTTACTTCTTACATACCACCCTCCATCATCTTCAGGTCACTCAGGGATGGTGAAATCCCTGGGCTCACTTGGATGCCAATGCTTATAGAAAGACAGTAATAGCCAAGTGGAACCAGATAGAGAGGTTAGGATGTCTGTCTACAATCCAAAGCTCAAAGCCCAAAGCCCAAGAAATCTTGGAACATAGAAGAAAGAAAAATCCACAGAATAAGCCTCAATGACCTCTTAGAAAAATCCATGTGTATTGTCCCAACAATGACTCATACTTGTGAATGTAGACCAGGCTGAATTTGGTAATTATGAGAAACTTGTTCTTTTTTCTGCCCACTGTTCTTTTCTGAGCAACATGGGCCTTTGGAGTGAGGTAGGAGTTGGCATGTGTGTGATGTGATGATGTCATGTGTACGCAGATGGGCAGATGGTCACGGGCTCAAAGGTTGTCTTGAAAAATCCAAGGCAGCTCTGTAAGAACTTGGTTGATGTGGGAATAAGAACTGGAGAAGTGGAAAATGGAAATCAGGGCTGGTGTTCTGTTCCTTGGCGGTACTGCTTTTTGTTGCTGTCACTCCTCACCCTCAATGTACTGGCCAGTATTAGGAGGCAGAGCAAAGCTGCCTGTGGAATTTATAACTCCTTCATGGATTGCTGACTCAAGGAAGGTGGGGCATGTGAGGGTTATGGAGGAGACGGTGTCTTCTTTGCCATTTCTATCCAGTGAGTGCATGGGACCAACACCTAACTCATACTTTCCTTGAGAACACTCAGAGGCCCCTGTGTTAACTTAGTATTTGCAGATGAATTCTCAGACAGGAAAAGGTACAGCATGTCTGTTTTTTTTTAAAAAATAGTTTCAACAGCTTTTATGTAATGCTCATGCATCTGGAAGTGAGAATGTTAGAAGTTTCATTTCACTAAAAATGGAAAAAATAATTATACTTTAACCTTTAACTTTAACTCACCACAAGAGGCCTTTGGGGAGTACCAATGTGTGTGTGTGTGTGTGTGTGTGTGTGTGTGTGTGTGTGTGTACATTGAATGTGTGTTTACTTTGAACACAGTATGTCCCAAGAGCTATGTAGGTTGTTATGAAAAACGCAGTGGTCTGGAGAGGGTGTCTAATAAGCTCATAGTCTAGAGAAATGAGAGGGGGTAATACCCAAGTATTACCCAAGCCCAAGTGAAGGGACACATAACGAGAAAGAATAAGAAGGACATTCCCCACCAAAGGACCAAAGCAAGTCAAGATGAATTTTTCCCTATGGCCAAAATTTCACCAGATTTCATGGCACACACACACACACACACACACACACACACACACACACACACACAC